TGCCAGCCGCCCCCTCTCCCTCTCTTAGCGCCGCTGTCCAGTGGGGCCCGCATGTCGGCGCCGCCCCACCCCTTGCTGACGTCAGCCCTGGGGCAATATTGCGCAATAAATTGATTAAGGCTTTTCTTTAATAGTAAAAACACAGAGAATCTTCTAAAAATCATAACTAATTCATCCGAGCTCCGATTAAGTCCATTCAAGTCTCAGTAAATTCATAAAAATGTGTAGAATCCATTAAAAATGGCTTTGTTATCTGTTTCAGTAGTCTTATAGCATGTTTTGCTTGTGTGCTTTGTTTGTCGCGTAGATTTCGGCCGTTTCGTCGGTTCGCGGTTTCTCGAAGACGTTGCTGTGGCCTCATCAGTGCGAGAGCAAGGCAAGTCATACATTGCAATTGATCATATTGTACCTAATATACAAATGTCCCGCATTTCTATTAAATATTGCATTGTTTTACAATATCATGTGGGATTGGTCCTATTACTCAGCTATATGTTGTTTCCCTTACGCCATTGATAACTTGGGTATTAAAATGACTAGATGTTGGTTTAGGAGATGCTTAGCCATGCTTAGTTCAACTAGTGCACAAAGGGGGATCACATTAAAGCATAGACTTGATTATTGGTATAGCTTTGATTTAGTGCCACCGTAATGGTGTTGGTTAATTAAAATACACGTCATGGTGGGCTGTGGGTGCATGGTCTTGCTAGTCGCACCCATGGCATTTAAGGACCGGTTCGCGGGATGCCCTGGAAGAATTTATCGTACTTACCACAAGCCAGCGTGGGCAACGGCTGGGCTTGTAGTGTAGCTTTTCTCTAGCCGACGTACCCAGGCGAGGGTGGGCGTGATGGAGTTGGGTCGGCCGGGGTGTCCGGTTGATCGGCTTCCGGATTCACCGCGGCACGAAAGGGGGCTGCCCGTTGCCTGCTGGGGACGGGGGCGAACCCTAAGGTGTGGTGCGATCGGTTAGAGGGGGTTATGCGAAGGGTCCTGTCACGGCCTCTTTCCGGTATGTCGTGGTGGCATGTCGGCGCACGGGAACGTGTCGTGGGGCTGTGTCTTGTGGGTACAGTTGTACACCTCTGATCAGAGTAAAACTATTCGAATAGCCGTGCCCGCGGTTATGGGCGGTCGACCAGATTCACCGTGATTAGTTTCACCCTAGTTAGCTTTTGGAACTGGTTAGTTCAGGTGGTGGTTTGGGCCTGTTGCAACGTGGTGTAACGTTGGACAGTGAGTGGTTAATATGGATTAATTACTACAACTGTTTTTCTGCTTTCTACTACTGCTTTGAAATGCCGGCTTTATGCAAAAGAACCTTTAGCCTCCCTTGGATATATCTTGCATCATACCTCCTCTTCCGGTATGACTTGCTGAGTACAGTGGGTAGTACTCAGTCTTGCTCTCTTTTCCCCCACACTAGAGTTGAAGTCCTTCCCAGTTGAAGATGTCTCGAAGAGGTTGGTTTCGTCGCTGCCGTCAAGGATGCATGTGGAATGGAGTCGCCCGCTGCAGGAGTCAAGCCTTCAGGCTTAGCTCGCTTTTATCTTTTTCCGCTGTATTTGTAATCTTTTATATTTTTGTAAGACGTGGATCTGTATGTCAACAATTGTCGTTTGTGTACCCTGGCTGGTCCTGGACAGGGGTTTAATGCACATTCAGCTTAGAAATTCTGGTTCGTGAATTTCTGGGCGTGACAACCCCTCACCACGAACCACCAAATCCATGGACCCGCGCGACCGTGGGGGCGAAGAGACGACGGATCCGTGCGGGAAGGGAAGAGGTCGCTGGATCCACCCCTCCCATCGCCGCTGACGGCGGATCCGCGCGAGAGGAGGGCGGAGAGATGACGGGATCCGTGCGGGAGGGGAAGAGGTCGCCGGATCCGCCCCTCCCGTCGCCGCCAATGGTTGATCCGCGCGAGAGGGAGACGAAGAGACGACGGGATCTAGGTGTCGGTGGTGGATCCGCACGGGCAGCATCAACGGCTTGGAACCGTTGCATGAGGAGGCCTTGCCGTCGCCCCCAGTCAGCCACTACGCTTCTTCATCTTCTCGCTGTCGCGCTTCTCCATCTTTTGCCGGATCAAGGAGAGGAGGCGCCGCTGGCCGCTGCTGCAGCCGGTAGGCGGAAGTAGGCGCCGCTACTACAGGAAGGAGGCGCAAGGGCTGAGCATGGGAGGATGTGAGGGCGCACGCTGGTGGAGGCGCTGGATGCCTGGATGACGGCGTGCAATGTGAATGGGGAATGAGTGAGGAGGGAGAGAGACGGAGAGACTGGGATAGAGAAGAGCCTAGAGAGTAAACGAAGAGCCTAGAGCTCTCAGAGCAGAAGAGCTCTTGGAGCTGGCAACCTCCTCGGTAATGAAGTACGAGCTTCAGTTTTTTCAATAAAAACAAACTACGACCGGTTAAAGTTCCTTTCTTTATTGTGCTATTGATTTTCGCTTAAAAAAGTTTTTTATAATACACGTAAAAGTACTTCACAACTAATGATGATTTTTCTTTATTACTTTTATTGTTGACATCAAAATCACTTTAAAATCTCTTAAAGTTTCAGTTAAATACAAATATTTGTTTGAGACAAAAAAAATATCGACCGAAAAAAAAATAAAAAGTTTCCACGAGATAAGCCAAATTAGAGTATTTGTGCTATCATCCACATGTCACATGACATGTCTCCACGTGAGTCCACGTATAATTTTGAGTTGACAGATCGAGAAAGCACGCATGACCACTAGAGACTATGAGTAAATATGCAAAAGTGACTATGAGTAAATATGCAAAACTATTTTTTATCTGCGACACTACTACATGATATATTTCCCTGGACACCGCACCCTTTTGTTTCCATGCGGTCTGTAAGTAGAACCGCATGGAAAAATAAGGGGACAGGCGCCGGGCTGTCGCCCGCACAGGAAAACACAGTATCCCGCGTGGGCGGCTTAAGCCAACCGCACCCGAATTTTCACCCGCACGGGCCCACCGCTTTTATCCGCGCCCACACACATCTCCCCCTCCGCCCGCTCCTCTCCTCCCACCTTCTTCTCCCCCACTCCACTCCTCTCCTCCCAGTCTCCTCTCCTCTCCTCTTTTCCCCTCTCTCCCAGCCGGCGGCGCGACAGCATGCGGCGGCGCGCAGCCCCTCCCTCCCTCTCCCTTGACTGCGGGTGGGAAGAAGGGCGGTGAGAGCCAGCGGCGGTGGACGACCACGGCGGACCCTCCCCTCCGTCCCCTTGCAGATCCGGTAGAGGGGGCGGTAGATCCGGCGGCGTGTAGATCCGGCGGAGGGGGCGGCGGATCCAGCGGCGCGCGGCCCCTCCCCTCCCTCCCCTTGCAGATCCGGCGGAAGGGAGGCATGGGGGCCTGGCGGAGTGGCGGCATGCGTCAGTGGCCGGCGTGGAGGTGGGGCAACGGCGTCGGCGACCGGCGAATCTCTCTCCTTCTCCTTCTCTCTTTGTTATTTGTGATTCTTTGTGATTTGTGAGATGCGTTTTTGGAGTTCATTTGTTGCTGTGAGATGTGTTCTTGTGATGCGAGAGTTCATTTGTTGATGTGAGATGCGTTCTTGTGATGTGAAATCATTGTGTGTCGATGTGCGACTACGGATCGGCGCCGGCGACCAGAATGGAGGTTGTCCTCTGCATCGGCAATGATGACGATGACCTCGCCCTCATCGACGTCACCTACCCCAAGCGTGACGTGGACAACATGCAGTGGTTCCGGGAAATCACGCTGCTATACCGTGGCCACCGCCTCTTCGCACCCTTCGTCCTCGGCCTCATCGTGCTCTGTGGCCACGCACCGCCCAACAATTGGTGCCCATGGGGACGAGAAGGGCGTGCGCGGCCATCCTCAGGACCCCGGCACCCCGATCCGCTACGTCGTGATCTACATCAGCGGCTCCCATGCCTTGTGTACCAGCCCGACTGCAACCAGTCCAAGTACACCGTCAGCGTGCTTCATTTCCACAAGGACGGTGGAAGGATGGCGCGGCTCCTCGCATTCCTGCACAACAGGCGTGTCACGGTGGCCTGCGTCGGTGCGCGCGATGTGATGGAGAAGCTCGCAGACGAGTGGGAATTGGACGTGGCATGGCCGGCGGAGTTGACGAATCTGTTTTCGTGCACGCGTTCGGCAAGGTGGCCGGGGTGGACGCGGTGAGGCCGCCCAAGGAGCTGGAACCGGATAAGGAGGAGATAAAGAAGAGCGTGTTGTCACTAGCAAATATCCAACTTTTAAGAGTGTCATCCCAAAAGTTACTCTGTGTAGTGTCCTACAGCTAATTAAAACCGTGAAGTCACGATATCCTATAGCAAAATTTGCCTATTTGGTTTTGTTACACAGAGGATCTCCTTATCTTCACAATGTTCAGCTCATGTTTTATGAAGGGAGCAATATTTTTCAACTCCACGCATTTTCTTCACATATCAATGCACGGGTATATTCATATAGTTCTTTCATTTTTTTAGGCTATCTACTTAGAAATATATATCCCGCAAATATAAAGAAGATTAATGGTCAAGAACAACACGACTTTGATCAAACTTCAAACACCCACTATCATCCGTCATCCGTGCAACGCACGGGCATTATGCTAGTATATTGAAAAAAAAAACAGAGAACCAACAAGCACATTGCACACATGTAACACTACAATAATCAAATCCCCATTGCAATGCTCAAAATCACAATTTTGGGTAAAAAGGTTCTAGGATTACCCTCTGGTATAGGCCCGGTTTGGCAGCGGTGTTACAGCGCTGTGCTGCAGTTTAGGGCTAGTTCATTAGCTTTAGCAGGCAAGCAGTAGCGGGCTGCGAAGCTGCGCTGCAACACGTAGCCGAACACACCCATACATATTCTACTAATTTAAATAAAAAAAAAGAATGAAGAAATATACCTTGCTCTTTGATTTTTCCGAGAAATCTTACTAAAAATGACTTCAAACCAAATGGATCTGAGATCGAAAGGTGAGATGGGAGAGTGAATTGGCTCGGGCTCGGACTTAGAGAAGGGCGGTGAATGGGTGTGGGACCCGCGCAGCTAAGTCCTACTGCAACAGCTAAGTCCCCGTCTCCTCGCCAGTTCTGTTCAGCCGCAGATCTCCATCCCGCCAGCAGCGGCGCCGGCATCCTGCTTCCACCGCGTCCTCGCAGGTGAGCAGAGCACTGGTTCCCACATCCTCAAAATCTCTCTCTTTCTCTTTGTCTTAACCTTAATTTGCTTCACTTGTGTAGTAGTAGATAGATCTATTTGCCTGGCTCTCAGGGAAGAGGGTAGGAGTGTGGCATGTCAGGGATCCTCGCGTGGGCGGCCGACGTGGTCGGCGGGGCCGGCGCCGCCAACGACGACGAAGCTGATGACGCTCGGGCGGTGGCGTCCGCGGCCATGACCCCGGAGCAGCGCCTCCGTGCCGCTGACCTGGATGCCAAGGCAGCATCGCTGCGGCGCTCGATCCACGACCTCCGCCTCCGGGTGCCCCCGCCTCATGTGGCGCAGCGCCTGCCGCACCTCCATGCTCATTCCCTCGCGTCCTCAGCCGCCCTCGCGCTCCAGCTCAATGCCCACTCCTCCACCAAGGAACAGGTAAACCGTCGTTTCTTTTTTTTTCTTTTGCCTTCTTATTAATTCATTCAGTAATTCTCTACTATGTAATCTTCAACATCAGAGTTAATCTTGTATATGAAATACAATCATATGTGAAATTACGATATTTTGAACTAATTTATCTCGAAATGCACTTGACAAAGTATAAAATTAACTCATGTTGAAGAATGCATCGTTCATCCCTCCTAGGGACAACATGATCTTTTTGCATGGGCTAACAAAGAGCAATGGATGGAACCCTTACAGTGATGGCATCTCTGAATGGGACAAACTGTCTCGTACGATGCCATTCCCTGGAAGTTACATCCGTTGATGGCATTTCCTTGAATAGTGCGCTTGTCAATGACATTTGTTTGATTTTCTCTTTGAACTATGGGGATAACTTCACCCCTCCAACACACACATTTCCATTACTAGAAAATGCACTTAAGCATTTCCATCTAATAACAGACTCCTGAAAGACACATAGCCTTAAGCACTTCCAAAGGGCAAAGGGGGAGCAACAGTAGATGACATAAAACAGTGACTCTTAGACGCTGCCAACACAAAATGAAACTTATGATATAAAAAGAACCACATTTAATTCAGCAATCAAGCTCCTGCAATTATTCCAGCCGAGCCGGTTGCTATCTCCACCCATACCTCAAGCTGAAGACTTCAGCAGCCACTTGCTTTGGCAGCCTGCCACCCTTCCGCATTGCAGCTGACTTGCGTTTCCCTGCAATATCTGCAATGACGACCAATATGAGACCAAATGATACATTCAATACAATATCTCACAAGGTCAGTTTGTCATGGGCTTTGGGCCGGGAGTCCTAGGCACAATGGGAACGGTATCCCCACCCCTCATGATAAGTGCGTAGCTCAGTTTGATAGAGTCACGGTCTGTTAGGATTAGGTTAAGTAGTCCTCCATGTATATAAGGAGGGATCCTATCTCAGGTCAGTTAGGCATTAGATCAAGATTTATCTTAGTGCCCATCGGCCCTGCCTTCTCGGTGCAACGGAGAGCGTCGCGTCATTTAGGTCCAGGGCCATTCCCAGTTCTTTCCTCTGTTATAACCAAATCTATTTCTCTTCACCCTATTTCATCCCTAATAATCCTAGCACGTGACAGTTGGCATGATATTTTTAAAACATGATGTGTTCCCTGTTTTCCATAATGACTAAAGAACAGCTATCCAAGCGGCAACTAATTTCTGCATTTTTTTATTGAACTGTGACAACCAAGATCCAAATAAATCACTCAAAGTATCAGGTCCGTTACATTCCATGTGAATCTTGCTAGGGGACACTTCAGAAATAGACAGTAGTGCAAAATTAGCATTAGTTATCATCTCTTTTCCATACAATGCTCTAATACCCTTGGTCAGGATACTCTTTTCTAGAATTTAACCACATAACCACTTTAATTTGTAAATGTAATTTGAACTTCCAATGTTTGTCGGAGAGTAAGTTGTGTTCGCTATAGTTTTAGTTCTTTGTAAAAAAAAAGATAGTAAAGTGGCCATTTTTAGTTAATAATCAAACTAATTTATCTTTCTGGTTATTCAATAGAATGGTCTGACATAACACTTGCAAGTTTCTGCCATAAAATTGGCCCTTCACCATAAAGAGCCCTCCTAAATGTAAAGAGTTTCCATCCTGCATTCATAACCTTTGCAATGGTAACAATCTTATTAAAAGATATAGCATATAGTAGAGAGAAAGTTTGCTTCAGCGATCTTCCGCCAAACCATTTGTCCTCCCCAAAACTGTCAGTATATATTTCATGTGTTCCTTGTTTTAAGGGTTGCATGTACCTCTCAAGTTCCAAATCAATTATTTCATGATTTATTTGATTATTTTACTTCACCTTATTTCATTTTTGGTGTGATCTTGAACATCTTAAGGTTTCCAATTTTTAGGACAACAATTCCTGCTATGCAAATAAAAAAAACTAAGGACAATATAACAAAAAATGAATCGATAGATTGACAAGTCACACAAGGGATAATCAGGTTCAAGTATTTAAACTTGTTGAGCTTAAATACTTGAACCACAAGAACACATAAGTTATGCAAGAAAATAATAGGTCTAGTGTGAACTATATCTTGACAGGTTGTGTCATTGAAAACTATTCTAGACACAACGTAGAAAATTCTTGGAAAATTTATGAGGGGGAAGGGAAAATTTTGCCAAGGGTTTGTGGCTAAGCAGGGCATGTGATGGTCACTTGGGAGCTGGTCACACTGAGTGGGCTCACATGATAACTATGCTTAAGGCCAAAGCTTGTTGGCACAGCAGTAGAACTGAATTTTTTTGTTCTCAAAATGAGTTTTGATGTGGGATTGAAACGGTTGGAAAGAGCACTACTCAAGTTTTCCAAAGTGTTGAAGAATTTCTCAACCGGATTCTGTATTTAAAAGTTACACATGCTTGAAGCCATTGCTGTCACTGGACTACTAGAGGGCAAACTAAGATTCCTGAAACCCAAAGTTATGTGGTGTCCTTTCTTGGACAGTACCATGCCATTCTATTACACCTAATCACATATAAACTTGCAGTTCCATCTTTAGGTACCAACTGGTTCTTTTTCTTGAATACAGTAGCAACTGATTCTAGAAATGTACTGATTCAACCATAGAAACGATTTGCCTCATAAATTGACGGTTTAGGTGTTGTGTGAGTATCCATGGTAGAGTTCTCATCAAGCAGGTGTACGGCACAATTTGGAGAGTGCACCATGTGGTGGTATAAGTTAGGAGGCCCAATTATTGATCTCTAGAACTGAAACTTAGTGTGCATGCTAGTGCTAATAGACATCAAGTGCTGGCCTGTTCTTCTCAACCTATTGGGCTGCACATACATGAACCATCCCGTGTTGCAATGCGAACGTTTGGTTGCATGCATGTTCTTGCTTGGATACATGAAGCTGATTATTTTACATGGTATTCGTGGTCAAGCTGGGCATGTCAAAAATTTTTCAGGAACAGAAAAGTAAAAAAGACTCATGAGATCATTGAAAACTAAAAGATGCGCAACGCTGTGTAAAAGGACTAAACTTTTGCCATAATCTCATGCATGTTGTTTAATGAGCTTATGCAAGGAATTCTCTTCGTGGTGTCTATCTGGTCAGGCTGGGTATGTCAAAACTGATGCTATCAAGGGTAATAACTACAAAAATTCCAATACAAGCAGTTGTCCTTTGTAATGTGCTGAGGCTAAGTGGCCACCATTGATTTGTATCTGGAGCGGCACGATGTGATGGTTTTGTTGCTATTCTTGCATATGATAGTTGTGTATAAATATATGTCCACTGTTTTCAGGATCACCATCCCAGGTAGGATTATTTTTTCTTTTCACAGGATCAGATCTTATATCAAATTATATAAACAGTTCTAATTGTATTTTTAAAACACATAGGACTTGATTAGTTCATTGCCTTAAGAAATTTAGGTAGAGCTTATTTTCGTTAGCAAACAAAATACCCTTATTTTACCACTTAGCGGTATTTGGTAGCAAACGACATATCTTCCCCATCTGTACCTTACCAAATTTAGTTTTGGTAGGTTGGTCCATTTTCTACTTTTTAGTTAACTAGAATTATGTTCATACTTTTTTGATGTTTAATCACGTATGTGAATATCAATGCATTTGTTCATATTACATCAAATAATCTTATTATATGGACCTTGTCTAAGTGTTATTTTTTCCGAAATTAATCATTTTATTGTCCAATTACTCTGAGTAACACAGCCTGGCATATTCTGCATTTCTTATGGACTTCTGTAATACAATTCGCAGATTTTTTGTAGGCACTGCAGAGAGAGATAACACTTCAAGAAGAAAATGCAGCTTATGAGAAAGCTATATCAAATTGTCGGCAGAAAATTCAGGAAAAGCAGATGGAGGTTACTCTGCTTCGGAGTAATTTGAAGGTACATTATTCATAGTTGTATCAACAAGGTAGTTCTACACTTGCATCATCATCATCATCATCATCTCTCTCTCTTATCCTTCTCATGGTTTCCTCGCCTGATGTTCCTAAGCACATTATATCCCTACTGGTGGCACATTGACTAGGGAGAGGATCACCTTTCTTTAAGCGATTGGCATTAGGGAGGATATATGAGATATGTGGAGTTAATTGAATTATGAAAGAACTACATGTACATTATGCGCTGCAATCAACTGATACAATTGGAGAAAAGATTTCTATTGAAGGAATGTGGGTTGTTTCTTTCTGTACTAGACAAATACATACGTGTTCCATCTGGATTAAGCATATCATAAATTCTGAAATTCAGAAGTTGCACATATTTTTTTTATTGAAAATCAATCCCCACATAAGTCTGTTACGAACCACCTATACAAATAATATAATTATCTGGAGAAGTCGTCACGTGTTGGATAGCAGACTTGTCACCACCATCATCACTAGTTTCTTTTGTATTAGTAAAAGAGATTTTCATTCTTTTGAACAACTGAAGGCTTTACATGTATATTGTTTATTTTTTATCTCCACCTGGCTACTGTGCACGTCTATCTAAGTAGTAATGTTGAATACGCACGGTAAACAGGAAGGCAGGCATAGTCTTCACAAAAGAAAATGGTTTGTCTCATAATGCGTGAGACTTAAGTTGTGATCTGTGCTCTCCAACTGAGCTATATCCTTACATTTTTTTTGAACATATCGTTTTCTTTTCCTACCAGAAATGTGCAGGAACTTGCACAATAACTTAGTAGAAAAATGATGTTTGCAGGAAATGGAAATTTCAGAGCAGGATTTGAAGGCACAGCTGGACAATGCTCAGAATGAGCAATATGCTTCTCAAAATAAAGCATCAGCTGCTGCTTCTGACAATACTGGAAATGCTTTGATGGAAGCTGAATCATTGATTAATCTCAAGTCTAATGACTTGAAAGAGAAGAATGAAGAGCTGGTATGATACAAACATAGAATCATTTCTCAATCTAAAACAGTTAGTAGGTTTATAACCAGATCTTCATAACAGAAATTGTTGGAAAGTAGTGTGCGAGTGCTGGAGATGGAGTGGTCCGTAGTTGAAGGGGAATCCTTGAAGAATCCGACTCCTGGTAAATTTTGATTGTTTTTGTTAAGATAAACATTTTAAATTTTTGTTGTCTTATTTACTTCATCATTAGTTGAAGAGAAACACGAGTTGTCTAAATTAATGACTATGCAGCCTTCCATGCCTTCTTTTTTTGGAATACCACATTGAGCTACATCCTACATGTATACACTATACCCTACCAAATGATTTACCAAACGGAGCATAGATAATTTCAATGTTGTGCCATATACATAGAAATACATTTGTGTTGTGAACTGTGTGGATTCTTGAGCTATATGTGTACCCTACAAAAATGATCGTACCAAGAGTAGCATGGATATTTTTTACGTTTTGTGTAATAAATACTTTTGTGGTCACAGCATGGAATTTTGATGAGTTAGATCTGGAGTGATAAAGGCCCTCCTGGATACAGGGCCAAGGGGTAAATTTGAAATTGACTTAGAAGTGGTTGTTGGAGGCTTTGAGCTCTGACATATGCTAATAGATCTTCTGTTGACGTACATTAAATTTAACATATACTCCGTCTGTCCCTAAATATTTGACGCCGTTGACTTTTTAAAACATGTTTGACCGTTTGTCTTATTCAAAAACTTTTGTTAATATTATTCAAAAACTTGAGTAGTAGTAGTATATTTAACAATGAATCAAATGATAGGAAAAGAATTAATAATTACTTAAAATTTTTGAATAAGACGAACGGTTAAACATATTTAAAAAAAGTTAACGGCGTCAAATATTTAGGGATGGAGGGAGAATAGTTTATTTATTTATTTTTGTTTCACGTTCTGTATATTTCAGTCCCTCAGTAACCCTTTCTGTCACGTATGCAGCCCAGAGGGAAAAGGTCCTGGAGAAACAATTACATAGCCTCATTGAGCAGCTGACAGCTAAGCAAGTCAGTTCTAATTTTAGCCTATAAACTTCAATATGCTTTTTGTCACTTGTAATTCCTATTAACCACAATTTTTCTTTTGTTTGGTAGGCTCAAGCTGAAGGCCTAATCGTGGATGTTCATGCCAAAGAAAAGGAATTGGAAAGGTTGAATAATTTACATAAAAATCTTCAAAGTCGTAACAATGATGGTAGTGTAGCACGAAATCCATTCAGGGCTGTGCATGAAGATTCTGATGCCAAAGCTGTTCGGCGACCCTATCAATTTGGTCTTAGAACCGAAGGGCTGAAAAGGTTGATGATTCTTAGGTCTGCTTTTGTTCTCTATATTTTGGTACTTCATATTGTTGTTTTCATAAAGCTCTCGGTTTCAAAGCAGTAAGAAACTTTTGTTCCCATATAAAGAGGAACTATGTTTCTGATATTAACGTGTGACTATTTTCCTATGTATTTAGTTCTAAAAATGTTTATCCCCATACAAAGGATCTTTGTTTCTACTATCAAACATGCAAGTACTTGCAGGATGTATAAATCAAGAAGCGTCGTAGCCTCTTCCAGCTTCGTTTTGTTTTTGTTTATTTTGTTTGCAAGGCACCTGCAATCCTGGAAATAAAACACAACAATAGGGTCTCCTGAGAGACGACACTGGCTCCAAGAGTGCATCTTATTGGAAGATTAATTGGGAGGAGAATAAATGGGATTAACCATGAGTACATGACCTCTAATCATCCCATTCATGGTACACAATTGCTCTTTCCATCAGATTTTATGATGGAATATGAAGGTGAATCCTATGCGCAAGGCGCGGAAGGGGATCCGCTCTCATCCACGAAGCTGAGACGTACAAGCCTAAGAGGATGAACAACTCTCTTGAGAGTTCGATTCCACGCGTGAAGGATTGCTCGTGATGCATCAAAGACGCGCCGTGTCTCCGACGCGCTAGCAGCCAACACCGTTGCGGGTAGGGCGATCAGGTTGGGCCAGCAAATCCTATTTTCAAATTTGAATGAACGGCTAACATAATAGAGATGATGTGACTTAATGGGAATACTTAAGGCCTGAGTTTGGGAGTGAGGGTAACTGAGCATCGTTTAGCGCATAATTAATTAAGTATTAGCTAATTTTTTTCTTAAAAGTAAATTAATATGATTTTTCTTAAGCAACTTTTGTATAGGAACTTTTTGCAAAAAACGCACCATTTAGCAGTTTGAAAAGCGTGTGCGCGGAAAACAAGAGTAGAGAATGTGAACAGCCATGGCTGAACACAGCCTTAGGCAGGGGTGTAAAGTTTTGGCGTGTCACATCAGATATACGGATACACATTTAAAGTATTAAACGTAGTCTAATAACAAAACAAATTACAAAATCCGCCTGTAAACCGCGAGACGGATTTATTAAGCCTAATTAATCCGTCATTAGCAAATGTTTACTGTAGCACCAAATTGTCAAATCATGGCACAATTAGACTTAAAAGATTCATCTCGCATTTTATACGCAATCTGCGTAATTAGTTATTTTTTTTATATTTAATACTCCATGCATGTGTCCAAACATTCGATGTGACAGGGTGTAAAATTTTGCCAGGGGATCTAAACAGGCCCTTATATAACATTTATATAGTATTTACAGATAAGTTGTCTATCCTTGCATGACACTGGGCAGGGGCGACACGGGTGGTGGCCACTGCCGGCGCGCCAACTCCGCCTCACCGCCACAAGGACGGCGGCAGCAGGGCCTCCTTCTCCCCCAAGGTCGCGGGTTCGGAGCCCACGACCCCGGCCAGCTCCTGGGACGGCGTCAGGCGTTGGGCGAAGAGCGCGATGGCCTGGCTGCCGGCGTCGAAGGTGATGGCATCGGCAGCTGGGTGGACCGGGTGGCGATGGCGAGGCGGCGACACTGGTCTGACGCCCTCCCAGCCAGATCCGACACCCTGTCGTCCGGATCCGGCCTCCCCGGCGCGGGAGGCCAGCCTCCCGTGCTGGCGGCGACGGCGAGGCGCCGGGGTACAGCGGCGTGGTGGCGGTGGCACCGCGACGCTGGGTCTGGCACCCCTCGCCAGATCTCGCCCACCTTGTCCGGTTCCGGCCTCCCTGGTGCGGGAGGCCAACCCCGTGGGCCGGCAGCGCGCGCGTGGAGGATGCGGCGCAAACGTGGAGGCAGCGGGGCGACGGTGGAGGTCGGTGAGACAGCGGGACGTGGCTATGGAGGTGACGGTGCAGACATATGAGACGAGAGCTTGGCGGGAGGGTGTGACGACGCGATGACGATGGCGGCCACGCCCATGTGGTGCCTTTGGCGGAAGGAGGAGACGACGGCGGGGATGGAAGAAGCTGGGTGCTGGTTGGGAACAACGTCGGTTGAACGGCGGGAACGACGAGGAGGCCGAAGGTGGCAGGCAGTGCAAGGAGGTGTGGCCGGCGGCAAAGGCTAGCTCGGCACGAGGAGGCGTGGCTGGTAGCGGAGGCCAGGTCGGCGCGCGGAGCCGTGGCCGACAGCAAAGGCCGATACGGTGCGGAGGCTAGCCGGCGGGGGGCGTCGGTGCAGCGGTGTGCGCGCTGACAGAAGATTGATGGTGGTGGAGCACTGGTGCGTCAGCTGCAGACAAGCAGGCGGCGGGTGAAAACTTAGCCCGGTCTTGGCCGGGACGGCAACAACGACGCTTTCGAGCGTCGGTCTCCCTCTTGAGGGTGCTGTTGTGCATCCCATCTCCTCTCATGGGGCTGTCGGGTGAAAACCTAGTCTCGGTTCTTTTTGAGACCTCGACGGACGTCAGCGGCGATGGTTTCGTCGCTCCTCTCCGTAGAGACGTCGTCTTGGCAACCCCCTTGCTAAATTCCTCCGAGACTTCCGGTGCAAACTCACTCTAGACTTTGTTCCTCTTGTATCGGCACCTTAGCTTATGCAATTTTCTATATGGGAAACAATTTGACTAAAATTTTCCAGATTCCATAAATATTTCGTGTCATGTTTTTGGTGTTTTTTTTCTAAAAAAAAATCTGCGACTTTGGATTTCCTTGAAGTCGACACATCTTTACCCAATCCTGAAAATTGACCCACTCCTACTTCCATACCTTAAAGAGAACAACTTGAGATCAAGACATGCATCAGACTTTAATTTGCACATGAGGCTACACTCCTCCAAAAGCGTGCTAGCTCCCCTGAAAAACATGCAGAAAAAAATACATTTGTTCTCAGAAGTAGCTTCCCGCACAAATTTTTTTCTGTTATACTCGGTGACATTTCAATGGAAGTGAAAGCGGGCATGGATGTTCTAAGTCGTTTTAGATGAGTATTCTCTCCATTTCTGTCGACACCCTGTTTAATGTCCAGCAGGTCATAAAGATTAATTGGCTTGTGTGTGTAACTCATATATTGCTGCGGTTCCATGTAAAGTAAAAAAAAAATTGCCAGCTTCATGCACCAAAATATACTAAATCAAACATCTTCTTTGGATCAAATGTCATTTTGCAACAAAATCGTGTGCACCACATATACAGGAGGAACAAGACAGTACAAACATTCAGTTTTCAAGGGTTCCTGTTGGCGGTACGACATGAGGCCCTTCGACCAAACCTGCCAAAACCATGTAACCAGTGAGGGCTCAAGCCCGAGACATCAAGTTCGTTGGGGCGAAGCCTCCACGGCGAAGACGGCGAAGGGAGGAGAATCGCGCTGGTACCTCGCAAGGATAAAGGCAGGCGAAGACTATAAGGCGAAGAGTGTATAACGAAGGAGGGTGACTTCGCCATAGCAAGTTTGGCTTCGGGGAGGCCCAGGAGGCCTCTTACGCCCGGTGGCCATTGGGCCAACATTCGCCAAATGGCCCATCAGAAGCCCATATACCTCAATTACACTGTATACCCATGTAAATGTTCCTTTCATAAGGGCAACCATGTAAATTTCCCTGTATAACCTAAACCCTAGTAGCAAGGACCTGTAATGGGGATATAAATAGCCCCCTAGGGCCAGGGGGAGAGCCCAAGAAAAATTCTCAATTTAATATACTTTACTGTTTTCCAACCACTGTTGAGTAATCACGTCTTTCGACGTATGCGGTTGTCGTTTCGACAACAGTTCCCTTTGTGATTCCATAGGTAAATTGCCATATTGATTGTCAGTTATAATAATATTGCAAACTTACTATGTGGCTTGTTTCCTCTTCATGTGCCAAACGTAGTACACATGTCAATGATAGAATGGTAGTAAAACACAAACATATTCATCACTCAGCAATATTAGCAAGTTAACTCCCAAAAATGACATGGCAAAAAGTTACTGGTAATACTATACATGATAAGATATTGGAGGCAAACAGTTCAGCACAAACATATTATTCATCACTCATCTCCAAGTTCTCCTAATACATGTCAATTTCAAAACGTTTTGATGTTTGCAGTTGAGAGCTACTTCCTCCGTCCCGAAAAACATGTCGTTTTGAGATTCCCAAGCCAAATATCTTGATGTAAAAAAGACCAAATTGCCCCTACCTATTTGATGTGGTTGTCATTTCATCAGCAGGGATGTCCCACACCATCCGCTTGCTATGGTTGTTCTAGCAATCCAACTTCTATATCAAGAATGACACTATAACGGCACTTTCTATGGGACACTTCCGAGAACATAGAACGAAACGTTTAGTGGGACGGAGGAAGTAACATAAGAACATTCCACTAAATACAGAAATAAGATCATATTATTCAATGTAGAAACGGGTCTCTAATATCACTTGCAATTAGTACAATGGATTCAATTGATTCCCTAAATTTTTAGTACAAGCGTGCAGGAAAGAGACATCAAGGTGGTGCGAAGAGACCCAAAGTCACATCCACTCCATAGTTATACATTGACAATGGCCAGAACTATCCCAACAAACAAGGAATGGACAAACATAATCTGATTTCCTTGTGTGCTACTGAAAATTTACCTAATTCCTTCTCTATCCTTAAGTTTTGTTCATTCCCTTATATACCCTCGAATTTTAGCTTGGATCTCTTCCATACCCTTTCGGCTAGATGGCCTTTAGTTGACCGTTAGATTCATATGCAAAAATTCATCTTGCCCTTTGGTATGAAAAAAATATAAACTAGATGAATACCCTGTCGCGTTGTTGTGGAAAATTAAGTTGTATAATATGTATAAATAAGATGTAATTTGATTATCAAAACTAAAACAGTTTTGAGACTAAAAATAATTGAGATGGTATGTTTTTAAGAGAGAAGAAAGAAGAGACAATTTGGACCATAGATTTATCATCCAAAGACTAGCAATAATTGGGGTGATGTGGCTTAATGAGAGAAGAGAGAAATAACATTAACTACACTTAGTGGGGATGAACTATATACTTATAAGTATATAGGATATATGGAGTATATTGTTGAGTGTAGAAATTTATTGAAAGAGATTATTATAATTATAAGTTTGTTATATGAGATATTATTTTAAAAAAATCATTTTTATATGACATAGAAAATATTTTTTAATTATTAACAATTTTTATATAGATCATTTTTAATAAAAAAAGCTACATAAATAAAATATAAAAAATAATTTCTGTCCTAAATA